GGCCCTCGTGGCAGGTTCTGGGGTCCCGGTGGGGCTCTTTTGAGGTGTTTTTGTGCCCCGTTGGGGCCATCCGAGGGCTCCCTTGGGGGCCTTTGAGGGGCCATCGAGACCCTCTTGGAGCCATCTTGTAGGGCGTCAAGAGAAGGGAGGTCCTCGATATCCCCCCCTCCCTCTCAGGAACTCCCTTGGGGCGCTCATGGGGCGCTCTCGGGCGCTCTGGTGCGCTCTCAGTGGCCGTCTTGGGGGCCTCGTAGGTCCCTCGTGTGCCATCTCTTGGGTTGAGTCGGGCCTGTCCCTCTACAGGGGGAGTATTCAAAAATAGTCAAACGATTGTCTGGGGACGAGCGGACCCAAGAACTCCGCGCGGAGCGCCACAAGGTTGTGCTCGTGCCGCTCTTTCTTCCTCTGACCCAGTTCTGTCGATGCGTGGGCGCCGGAGGTCTGGATCACCTCCCTCCAGGGCCGGCTCCGCGCCCCCCGAGTCGTGCCTCTCGACGGCCCCGAGGGGCCCGGCGAGGGCCAGGGGACGAAAGCGGAGCCCAGCTCCGGGCGCTCTCCATTTTGGAGCCTCGGATCCCCGGGGAGGTCGTCGTCGGAATTGGCCTCGTTCTCCCCAGACATCCGCGGGCATGATTCTGTCCATCCCCGGCCCCAGGGAGGCCCCAGAGGTCCCGACCCCCCTTCGGGGGCGGAAAAGAGGGGGGTGATGACTAGGGGGGGGTGGATATCATGGCGTGGGCCATGATATTTCCCCAGATTTCATGGCGCCTCTTCTTATTTCATTGCGTCCCTGGCCCCCCTCGCTGGGCCGCGCACATGCCGCCGGTCATGATTTGCACCCCCCCCCTCTTGGACCCCCCCCCCTGGCCGCTCCCGACCCCTGTTCCCCGAGGAAGGGCTTGTCGTCCCAGATTCATTTCGGAGGGTCCCCGGGCCCGAGTACGGGTCCCCGAGGCCGACGTCCAGGAGAAAAGCCGCCGCACTGAAGAAGGCATACGGCCGGTGCGCCGAAGAAGGAACCCTTTTCGTTGGGGAGGGGCTCCGTGTGCCTTGACAGTTCCACAGCTTGTCTCAGGTTTTCCTCAGGCTTTCCCTCGGGAGATCGAAGATTAACCTATGGGAACAGAGGGGCCCTCGTTCCTTCTGTAGGGCTCCTGAGGCCAACGCCCCGACTGTAGCTTCGCCTGTCGGGGTCCCACCCTCCCCCCCCCCTCCCCGCCCCTGGCGCCCGACGCCGGGGGCCGGCAGGGGCCCCGTCGCGGGCGGCCGCCGCCGCCCCGAGCTCGCCGCCGCCCGCCGGCGGGGCCGCTGCGGCGGGCGCGTCGCCGCAGGCGCGCCGCGCGCGGGCCCCCCCGCGGGCGCCCCGGGGGCCCTCGGCGTCGGCGGTCCTCGGCGTCGGTGGTCCTCCCGCGCGCCCGGGGGCCCTCGGCGTCGGCGGTCCTCGGCGTCGGCGGTCCTCCCGCGCGCCCGGGGCCCTCGGCGTCGGCGGTCCTCGGCGTCGGTGGTCCTCCCGCGCGTCGGTGATCCTCGGCGTCGGCGGTCCTCGGCGCGGTGGTGGTCCTCGGCGCGGTGGCCCGGCATAGGGAAGCAATCGACAAGGCGTAAGAGTGGCCTTTCGTTGGAGTGACCTCTGGTGCGGGCCCGCTTGGGCGCCGAATGCGGTGCGATAGCATCGGCTGCGTGCTCGAGTTTGGCCACCTTGCGCCCCCGCTGAAACCGCGCACTAAAGGGCACTCTTGCCTAGGGTCACTCCCTGCGTGTAGCCGACTCGGCGTGGTGGTCCGGCAGAGGAAAGAAATTAGTGGACGGTCCTCACCACCACAAAGCCGAGCATCGGGAAGGACGCGTGGGCAAGAAGTGTGCGCGGTTGGCAACTTTTCAGGACATGGAAGGAAAACGCTGCAAATTGATTGCGTATGCACGGAAAGTCAACTGGGGAGGTCAAGTGGAACGCAACGCAGAGAAGCGGAGTGCATCACGACTGAGAAGCAGATACGAAAAGCGCCCAAATGTGACGCAGAGGAGGGGCAACCCTTCCCCCTCTCCCCAAATTCAGAGTTTGAGTTCAAGGTTGGCACGCGCGGGGGAGCCTGTGGTCGAAGTGCCAGTCGTTCAACCCACCGCAGACATTGATCATTGGGAGGGGTGCCACGCCCGTTTTGATACACAACACGCACTGTGCTCAAACCGTTCGTGTCGATACGTGGCGTGTTGGCTCAACGTATTGGCCCACGTTTTGGCGCACGCATCGCGTCAGACCTACGTTTTCAGTCTACGTGTGGAGCTCCGTATCAATACGCTACGTTTTGCGTGCTGCGTATCGGGGCAGCTAAGGGCATGAGTGTTTGCTAATCTCTTCCGAGGCCTGTCGTCGTGGAGGTTGCCGCCGTCGCCGTCGTTGTCGCCGTCGTCGTGGTTCTCGGCGGCGAGCCTCCTCGGAAGGCTCGGGATGGCCTCGGGAGGGCCTCGAGATGGCCCAGGACGGCCTCCAAAGCCACCTAAGAGGCCTCCAATACGGCCCAAGAGGGCGCCAAGAGCCCATCCACGAAGGCCCGAATACGGCCAGATGGTTGATTTTGCTCAGGTTGTCGTGAAGGATTTGTGGCAGACGGCCACGACGGCCAAGGATGCCTGGGGGGGAAGTGAGAAGTGGCGGACCTTTTCAGAGGGCTCGGAAGTCTCCCAGCCTTCTGGGAAGTTTTCTGAGGCTCCCCGAAGACAGAAACCCTCTCAGAAGGCCAGGAGGGCTTTTGAGAAGCCCCGCCGCCTTCCGAGAAGGCCTCCTCCTTCTCACTTCCCCCCTCGCTCGCCGCCAAGGGGTGATCGTCGTTATGGCCGTCGCAGTCGCAGTGGAGAAGGTCACCGTCGTCGCCGCCACCGCCGCCGCCGTTGCCGTCGCCGCCACTGTGGCCGCTGTCGCCTTTGTCGCCGTCGCGGCCGTCGTTGCCAATGTCGTATTCGTATTCGTCGTCGTCGTCGTCGTCGTCGATAAGGTCGTCATGGTCGTCGTCGCTGTCGCAGTCGCCGTGGTCGTCGTATCCTGTGGTTGTTCTGTGCGGTTGTCCAACGGCTGTCCTCTGGCCAGACACGGTAGTAGGAAGCGACATGCATAATCGGAAGAGGTTACAGAGTGAGAATAGTGAAGCAGTCAGAAGAAGAGTCAGAGCTGGTAGAGGTATCACCATGTGTAGGTCCTAGACGAATTAGACGTGTTATATTCGGTGAAACAGCTCGAAGGGTGATAACACAGATCTTATGCGTCGGAGTTCTATATAGCAGTTTGAGTCGTTGTGTGCTGTGTATCAGCTAGAACGCATGCATACAAGTGCGGATTTAGCGACGGTGGTGTGCACACATACGTATGTAGATTCAGGAGTTCGCTCCTTGCGTGCCAGCGATCATATATAACAAGTAGAAGTCGGACCAGGTATTCTAGTTCGACGACTTAAGCAGCATTCGAGAGCTCCCAAGCTGGAAGCACTTAAGGGAGTCATACGAGTCACACCATGCATATTGGTTAAACAGTGGTTCGAGTCAAGCGAAGCAGATGAGTTCGAACATGCAGAACTGTTTGTAAGGTTTCGAAATCGCTCGGGAACTTCTCTCATACTTTCACGTTTAGGTGGTTGTTTTCTTATTCACTGTTTTGCCGAGGTGCGGGCCCTCGCTGCCCCCTTCCCCCCCGTGGAGTAGGTCTATCTTGGCTGTTGATGGCGCCTGTTTTGAGCATTCGGGGTCTGGAGGAGGAGCAGGAGATGAAGGAGGAGGAGGATGAGGAGGAGGAGGGAGGAGAAGGAGGAGGAGGAGGAGGATAAGGAGGAGGAGGGCGGAGGAGGGATGACGATGATGCTGATGATGATGAGGAAGAGAAGGAGGATGAGGAGGAGGATGAGGAGGAGGAGGAGAAGGAGGGGGAGGAGGAGGGGGAGGATGAGGCGTGGAGGAGATGAGGAGGAGAGGAGGAGGAGGACGGAGGAGGAGGAGGAGGAGGAGGAGGAGGAGGAGGAGGATAAGGAGGAGGAGGAAGAGGAGGAGGAGGAGGAGGAGGAGGAGGAGGAGGAGGTGGAAGAGGAGGAGGAGGAAGAGGAGGAGGAAGAGGAGGAGGAGGAGGAGGAGAGGGAGGCGGCGGAGGGGGAGGCGGAGGGGAGGCGGAGGTGAAGAGGAGGAGGAGGAGGAGGAGGAGGAGGAGGAGGAGGAGGAGGAGGGGGAGGAGGAGGATGAGGAGGAGGAGGAGGAGGAGGAGGGAGGAGGAGGCGGAGGAGGAGGAGGAGGAGGAGGAGGAGGAGGAGGAGGAGGAGGAGGAGGAGGAAGAGGAGGAGGAGGAGGAGAAGGAGGAGGAGGAGGAGGAGGACGAGGAGGAGGAGGAGGAGGAGGAGGAAGAAGAATAATAAGAAGAAACATAAGCATAATATTAATCATACTAATAATAATGATAACAAGAAGAAGAAGGATGAGGAGGAGGAGGAGGAGGAGGAAAAGGAGGAGGAGGCGGCGCTGCTTCAAGAACACCATTTAGCTTTACCCTCGGGCGGCATAGGCATCGATGAGCGCGCGGCGAAGACGAGGCATATGCGCCGTGCCGAGACGGCACCTGCCTCTGCCACGCGCAAACCGCGCAAACCGTACAAATCGCACGGCGTTTGGGCGATGACGGCGTCTCGCCCGCTCTCGCGATGCCCCGCTGCCGCTGCCGCTATCCTGCGGTCCGGCGAGCGAAACCGGACTCACGGGCACCTCGTCTCCTATTGGGGGCACCCTGGACCTCCCTTCTCCTCGGTCCTCGTCCTCCTTCCTCCTTCCTCCTCCTTCTCGCCCTTCCGCGCCGTCCTTGTCGTCGTCGTCCTCCCCCTCCTCCTCCTCGCTCCTTCATCCTCACCGCCTGGACCTGACGTCGGCCAGGCGGCTCCCCCCCGCTTGCAGGCGAGGCGGCCCGGCGCTCCCATGGCCTCCCCGCTGTGGGCCGGGCAGATCGCGGGGGCCCCTGCCCGGCCTGCGCGGCGGGCGGCGACGACGGCGGTGCCGATTGCGTCGCCCTGGCGGACGCCGACGACGACGCCGACGCCCACGCGGACGTTGACGACGACGACGTCGACGCCGACGACGTCGATGCCGACGAGTTCGTCATCGATGACATCTTCGTCGAAGTCGTGGTGGGGGCCCACCACGACTTCGATGCATGTATGTATGCATGCATGCATGCATGCATGCATGTATGCATGTGTGTATGCATGCATGTATGTATGCATGTATGCATGCAGGCATGTAAGTAATTGTGCGTGTCCAAAGGATATACACCACCACCTCCATTCCCCCTCCCTCCTCCCCTCCTCCTCCCCTCCTCCTCCCCTCCTCTTTCCTCGGGGAGGGATGGGGTTAGGGAAGCGGTGGTGGTCCATAATTTTGGGCCCCGTAAATTGTGTATGTATGTATGTATGTTTGAATGTAGGTTTGTATTTTTGTATGTATGCATGTGTTAATGCATATGTGTACATATGCATGCCAGCATGTAGTTCTCTATGTATGTATGCATATATGCATGTGTTGATAGATGTATGCGTATATGAATGTATGCATGTATGTGTAGATTTGTATTGTGTATGCGTGCATGCATGCATGCATGCATGCATGCTTGTATATGTGTATTCATGTATGTATGTCTGTGTGTGTATGCATCTAGGTATTTCGGTGTGTATGTATGTATGTATGCATGTATGTATGTATGCATGTCTGTCTGTCTGTCTGTCTGTCTGTCTGTCTGTCTGTATGTATGTATGTATGTATGTATGTATGTATGTATGTATGTAGGTGTGCATATACACATATATATACATATATATATGTTATGTGGGTGAAAATGTGCATGCATGCATGGATGTATGCATGCACGTATGTATGTATAGCTGCACGCCTGAATGCATGCACAGGTGTGTGTCTATATGTATGCATGTATGCATGTATGCATGCATGCATGTTCGAATTTCTGTCTGCATGCATGTATGTATATCTGCATGACTGCATGCCTGTAAACGTGTATGTATGTATGCATGCGTGCATACATGTAGGTATCGGTCCATGTATGCATGCATGCTTTAGTTCAGTGTGTATGCATGTCTGTTCATATATGTGTATATAGTTGCATGCTTGTACGTATGTGTGCATGCGCGTATGTGTGTATTTTAGTGTTGATGTCTGTCTGTCTGTCTGTCTGTCTGCCTGTCTGTCTGTCTGTCTGTATGTATGTATGTATGTATGCACGGATGCATGCCTGCATGCTTATGTGATTGTATTTATGCATGTACGGATGCATTTGTGCATCTAGGTATGCACGTACGTACGTATGCATGTATGTATGTATGCATCCATGAATGTAGTTCTGCATGTATGTGTGTATGTGTGTATGCATGCATGCATGCATGCTTGCATGCATACATTTTTGCATGTGCGTATGTATGTATGCATGCATGCATGTATGTCTTTATGGATGTATGTATGTGCAAGCATGTGTTTATTTCTATGTATGTATGTATGCACGTATGTTTGTGTGTCTGTCTGTCTGCCTGCCTGCCTGTCTGTATGTATGCACATGTGCCAGTATGAGTGTATGCATCCATGCATGTATGGCTGTATATATACGTATGTTTGTACATACACGCACATATACGTATATCTATGTATCATTTTCATATATGTATGCACATACATACATCAATACGCATTCATGTATGCATCCGTGCACTTATGCGAAGCTTAGCTCATGTCACTGTGTATGTGCGGAGGGAGTGTGACAGTGAGAGTGAGATCGAGAGAGAGAGAGAGAGAGAGACACAGAGAGATCTAGAGATCAGGGGAACGAGGATGATGATGATGATGATGAGGAGGAGGAGGAGGAGGAGGGGGAGGAGGAGGAGGAGGAGAAGGAGGAAACGGGGGAGGACGAGGGGCCGAAGAAAGAGGAGGAGGAGGGAGGAGGAGGACGCTGAGGCGAAGGGGGACATGGACGGCAATGAGGGAGGAGGGAGGGAGGGAGGGAGGGAGAGGGAGGGAGGGAACGAGGGGGGGAGGAAGGAGGAGGGAGTAGGAGGAGGAGGCGGAGAAGAACGAGGGAGGGGGAGGGAGTGAGGAAGGGAGGGAGAGACTATGAGGAGGGTGAGCGAGAAGGACTACGTTTTGGTGGGGATTCCGCTTGTGAGGATATGGGGAACATGTTTGGCCGTACACGGATTCGCACACGTGTTTCCTTTTTTGTGTCATTTTTTTATGTTTTGTTACAAAATTTTTTTTTTTTTTTTTTTTTTTTTTGCTTTTTTTGCGAGGGTGTTCGCTGATGAATGATCCTCTGAAAAGCAGCAACGACATTTCCTTTGAGTACTTTTTCCTCGTGCTCTCAGTGTCCGCGGTTGTCGAGGGCCTGGGACATCAGAACGCAGGAAACTTGCGCAAAAGGAGCACGATCATTCGAACTGCTGTGCCCATCGCCGCCTGATCGGTAGGATCATCGGC